AGTGTCATGATCTTGGCTCACTGCAACCTCTGCCTCCCAGGTTCAAGCAATTCTCTGCCTCATTCTCCCGAGGAGCTATGATTACAGATACCCACCACCACACCCAGCTAATTTTTGTATTTTTAACAGAGACAGGGTTTCACCGTGTTGGCCAGGCTGATTTGAACTGCTGACCTCGTGATCCACCTGCCTTGGCCTCCCAAAGTGCTGGGATTACAGCGTGAGCCGCTGCACCTAGCCTAAACCATTGTTCTTGACTGGCAGCTGCCTGTACATTTCTGGTCCTGACATTCCAGAAATGCCTTTCTCCCTGGGCTCAGGCAGACCTTCCTGGCTGGGCCATTGCACTGGGCTTTCCCCTGTGGCAGTCAGGAGGGGATTTATAAAAGTACATATTTAGATTGAACCATATGAAATTGGCAGTCTTAAACCATCTTTAACCTTTAAAAATGGTAATTAGTTTCAATCTAATAGGGCAGCCAGGGGCTTTGCTGTGATCTGGATGTGAAATTCAGTTCCTGATTCCTCCTAGGCCCTGGAAGATAAGATCAGCCATTTGTGGTAGGACCATATAATAAGAATTATTACAGTTCAGTTGTCAAAGTCTTTTTGTGGGTTGTGTCCTATTTACTGTGCAAATTTAGGAAGTTATATTACCTCTCTGGTTTTACCTTCATCAATAAAGTGGGCTGGGGTGAAAGGAAGTACTTTGAAACAATTCTGTACTCACTCTGTTGTAAGCTTAGGTTCATTTGAACCTAATGGCAAACCTGGAAGTCCACAGGACTGGTAGAGTTGCTCAGAGAGGTTTAGAGACCCATGCAAGGTCAAGGTCTCAGAATGAGTGAGTAAGGGAGACATCTAGAGCCCAAATCTCCTACCTCCTGCTCCCCACCCTGACACTCCACACCACTAGGTAGAGAGCAAGCCACACAAGGAAGCCCCTTTGGGGACGAGTTCCAGGGCTGTGGCACGTCACCCCTTTGTTTTAGGATGTTGCCCTGTGCGTGATACGCCACACGGCAGTGGTTCCAGTGTGTGCTGTGGTAATAGTAATAGCAGCCGTGGTAATAGTAGCCCAGGAGTGAAGAACCTGGGCTCTGCAGTCAGCACTGCCAAGTTCATGTCCCGGCTCCATCACTTCTCAGCAAGTTATGGCGTGTGTCCTCTCTGTGCCCAGTCTCCTCCTCTAAATGCAGAGGCTCACAGCCCTGCCTATAAGGCTGCAGTAAGGCTGGAGTTCATGTGCATGGAAAGTACTTCAAACTGTGCCTGACACCCAGTAAGAGGTCAGGAAATGTTTGTGCTATTTTATTATTATAATGACTACAGATATTACTGTTTTGTTGAGGAATCAAAATCAGTATTAAGGTACTGCCTAGTTCTTCTAAAAGTCTAGTTTTTAAAATGCTAATCATTTAATTGGAATGTTAGTGTGGGGGAAATTTAAAGTAATCTCCTTGCCCTCCGCTTCTGTAGATACGTATGTATGTATGTATTTAACTGAGATAGGGTCTCGCTCTGTTGCACAGGCTGGAGTGCACTGGCACCATCAAAGCTCACTGCAGCTCCAACCTCCTGGGCTCAAGCCGGACTCCCACCTCAGCCTCCTGAGTATCTGGGACTACAGGCGCATGCCACCATGCCTGGCTAATTTTATTTTTTGTAGAGACAAAGTCTCATTATGTTGCCCAGGCTGTTCTTGGACTCCTGGGTTCAAAAGATCCTCCCCGCTCAGCCTCCCAAAGTGCTGGGATTACAGGTGAGAGTCACCATGCCTGGCTTTACTCTCTCCTTTTACTGTGTGACAGGACTCCTAGCAGCTTGCCTGAGACCTCATAGCCCGGACCATTACTTTATTCCCCCTCTCTGCTACCCCTGGCCCTTCCTTAGATGTGGAGAGGATGTGGAGTTGGGAGTGCCAGCCTAGGATCTTCGGTTGCTCCCTCTTCTTCTCTTACTTCAGAAGACAACATTTATCAGGTCATCCTCGGGTGAAGGCCACTCACAAAAGCCGTGTGAGGCTCCTGGATTGAACCAGCACATGTCTGCATATTTTACATGAAATGTAGAAGGCAAGGCACAGATCCTCCTTGTGTTAATCTCCCCAGGAAGGAGTAGGAAATCCATCTTGGGACAGCAAATCTGTGCTTGGAAACATTTCAATAAGCCAGGCCGGCCAGGGCCGTCTTACTGGGTGTCAGGCACTGTTAGAAGCACTTTCCGTGCACACTAACTCCAGGCTCACTGCAACCGTGAGCCTCTGCTTATAAAGGAGGAGACTGGGCGCAGAGGAGTCACATGACATACGTGGCCAAGTCCCACGGCTGTGAATTGATGGGGTCGGGACATGAACTTGGCAGTGCTGACTGCAGAGCCCAGGTTCTTCACTCCTGGGCTACGACTGCCACTGCACTGCTTTTATACACACAACAAGTACATTTGCCGTGCACCTCCCTTTCTCAGAGCAGAAGCGTGAGGCACGATTGCTAGAACAGCATTAGGATTTTTTGTGATCCCAGCATAACTTCGTAGGAACACATTCGTATGGAGTTGTCACCTCGCAGCATGAGCGTGGCACCACAGGGTCTCAATGCTCCTTTCTGTTCTCTTGCCTGCCCCTCACCCCGGACACTGTCTTTCAGGAAGCAGAGTCCAGCTGTGCACACAAAACCCCAGCCGCCCACTCTTGGGGTGGCCCAGCCAAAGCTCTCCCTCCCCCTCCCCCTCCTCCTCCTCGTCCTTTCTTTTTCAGCCCTCCTGGGCTCCTCGCTTTGCCCCCTTGTATGCCGTGTGGTGACGTCAGTGCATCTCACGGTGGCTTGCTCTGTGGCTGCCATGCCTGGCCTCTGCTGTCATGTCAGGAGGCCTGTGGAAAGGCTGTTGCCTTACACACAGGGAGTGAACAGTGTGCAAATTTTGAATCCCTCTGTTAGCCTCACCTGAGAATCTAGGGGGTGGCTGTTTTGGAAAAATGGATATTGAGTGTGAGCTTGTGATTTGGGGAAGAGATCAGCCTCTCCACGGGAATGGTTTGCAGAAAATTGTTTCACGTAGGTGTGATGTGTTCAGCTCTGCCAGATGTCTCGGGCCTTGTGGTGGAAAGGATGGGACGGCACTGAGAGACAATCATTCCTGACGAGAAACGAGGTTCACCACAGATGCGCTCAGAGCCCTGTTCCTACCCCAATTCTAGAGAATTGAATAATGGCACGGTGGGGTTTTTTCCGTGAACTTACAAAGAATGCTTGGTGAGCCTCATGTGCTTTATTCACACAAATCTCCCCGTGTCTGGAGACAGGTAGAAATGGGGGGGCTTCTCTTCCACTAACTTGACCCTTTACTTTTAACGTTATGAGGTTTTTAACTTTGTGGGTTAAGTTCCACCCCACTGACATCAGAAATAGTAGGTTGCGGTCTGCAGCCAGCATGCATAGCAGCACGGCCTCAGAATGTCATAACTGCTTTGTGCTTCAACTTTTCCATCTGCAAAAGGATCTCAATATCTTTTCCAATATCTTCCTGGGCCAATTTGAAAATGTAGGAAAGACTGTGTGAAAATCGTGTCCTGAGCCCCTTCAGAGAAAGTGATTTTGAAATGTCAGTATTGGCCGCTGTTACCCAGGGCTGTGCTGTCCACATGCGCGCTGTGGAGGCTGGCCAGGCCTCCCTGTCCTGCATTCCCAGCATTTTTACTTTATGAGTAATCCCCACCACTTCCCCATCGCACGGAAGAATTGAGGTTTTAGCTTTCTGCCCACACAGACGCAGATGTCAGCCATCCATGGTAGCGGAAAAGCAGAGGCATTCTACACTTTCTGCCTTAAACATACACGGTGCCTCACAAAGGTCCAGCCCAGGCCCTGGTGCCCAGGGTGGAAGTAACAAAGCACTTCCTACCATCACTTGTAGAGTTATTCAGTCTGAAAGCTAAAAGGACATCGCCAGACCCTGTCGGGAAGCCACCATTTTCACGGAGGAACCTGAGACCCAGAGCAGGAGGCCCTTACCCAGAGTCCCATAGCAGATTATCAGGAAACGCTGGGCAGAACTTGAACCCAGGTCTGCTTATCCACAGGCTCGATTTTTCCTCCCCACTCTGCTTCTGTCGGGTGGATGCGAGGGCAGAGACTACGGGGAGAAGGGACCAGGATCAGGAGGAGGAGATGGTATCAGGCAAGTGAGGAACAAGAGAGGCCTAAAGATGCTCAGCCAGGGCCTCCCCTAACCTGGTCGCCTCACCTACTCTCCAGCTCCCCTAGACTCCTAAGCACCTGGAGGATGTTGGGTGTCACAGGTGCCTGCCCCTCCCTGGCCCTAAGGCCCTAGGGGACACCAGGCTGGAGGCTAAGTCCCTGGGGCATCAGATGGGGAAACAGGCCCCAGTCCCTCCAGCTGTCATGCTAGGGAATAGGCAGGGAGCTTGGGGCTCTCCAGCCCAGTGGGGCAGTGCACCCTGAAGAAGGCATGGGATTCCCAGGGGGAGAAGCCCAGGATGCTTGGGCAGGGACCAGCATGGAGCGAGAAGAGGTGAGGCCCATGGCTTTGGAGCCAGGCTGACCTGGGTTTAAGGCACTGCTCTGAGTGACCCTGAGCATTACTTAACCTCTCTTAGGTTAAGGATAATTCCTTCACCTCATGAGGTCAATATGAGGATCAAATGAGAGGATATTTGTAAGATTCCTACATGTTCAATAAATGTTAGCTAAAATCAAAATGAACAGAAAGGCGTCAGGTGGCAGGTGGCAGCAGGTTCCTGTGCACCTCCCATACCTGTCCCATGGGCCAGCATCCGTTCTCTGTGGCAGGACGGAGGTGCTGTCAATCTCCTCCGAGCTCCTACTTCACAAATGACTTCATTAGCCATCCTCAGTTTCTGTCAGTCTCCTTCAGACCCCCCTTTACAGATGTCAGTAAGCCCAGAGAGGCCAAGGAGCCCCATGGTTGGAGCACTCTGCGATGTCCAGTTTCTGACCCCTCCTTTGATCCGTCTCTTCCAGATTCATGTGCTCACAGCTGCCCAATCAGGTCCTGAAGAGCATCAGCATCATCGACAGCCCCGGCATCCTTTCTGGGGAGAAGCAGCGCATCAGCCGAGGTCAGTGCCTGTCCCCGCCCCTCCCCACCAAGTGCTGGCTGAGGCCCTCTCTGCTGTGAGCAGAGGATTTCTGTCCCTGTCGTATTCTGTCTGTCCTCCAGCACAGCTGTTGGGCAGCTGAAGGGACCCCAGATGTCAACCAGGAGTTCATAGCATCAAAGACTCTGCCCCTCCAGGGGCTTGTATTCTGTGAGAAGATATTTGTCGAGTTACACATGAGTAAATGCAGATGAGGAGTGGGGTGAACACTGGGAGGTATCAGGGTGTGAAGGGACCTGCCTTGGCCTCGGGTTGTTGGGAGAGGCGCCTGGAGGAAACAGCACTGGCTGTAGGATCTGAAGGAGGAGTAGGAATTACCTAAGGGAAGCTCTGGGGTGGGGAGAGACTGAAGCGTTCAGAGGGGATCTGTGAAGACTAGAAAATGCTTGCGCAGAAGAGGACATCCAGGCTTCTCCAGCCTGCAAAAGACAAGGCTGAGGCAACGGCTGCTTCTAGGCCTGCGCTTTGTAGTCAAAACGGATGGGTCTGCTGAGCACGGTGGCTCATGCCTGTAATCCCAGCACTTTGGGAGGCCGAGGCAGGTGGATCAGCTGAGGTCAGGAGTTCGAGACCAGCCTGGCCAACATGGTGAAACCCCATCTCTACTAAAAACACAAAAATTAGCTGGGCATGGTGGCGCATGCCTGTAGTCCAAGCTACTTGGGAGGCTGAGGCACGAGAGCTGAACCCAGGAAGCGGAGGTTGCGGAGAGCTGAGATCACACCACTGCCGCTGCACTCCAGCCTGGGCGAAAGAGCGAAACTCCGTCTAAAAAAAAACAAAAACAAAAACAAAAAACACAGGTGGGCCTGCTGTCTCCCTCTGTCCTGCAGGAAGGGGGCATCAGGGGCAGACCAGAGGACAGAGTTGACTTATGGAGAAGAAATGCCTGATTGGGAGGGTCAGGATGGGTTCCTCCCATCACAGGTCCAGAGGCAGCTCAAGTCATTCCCTCACCCTGGCCCTTGAAACAAAGGCGGGTTGCTGGGAGGGAGGAGATGGAGCAGGTGCATCGCTGCCATCACTTCTGGCTGAGAACTCTTCACAACCCCTTGAACAGCAAGTCGGTAGCACCGTGCTGAGAAGTCCGAGCATGCCAAGGTTGAGCAGAAGCCTGTGTGGGGTCACGGTTGCAGGTTACAACCAGGCAGTGAACACCCCACAGCTCACAAAGCAGAAGTGCAGTTACATAGGCCAGCGAGGGTCCCGTGACAGGGGTCAAGAAAGGGATTCCGAGGCCAATAAGCCCTCCTTTCTCTTGGCATTTTGGGAATGCCATCTCTGCTGCTCCGTGGCCTGCAGAGAGCTCAGGGCTGCGCTGAGCCAAGGCCTCCCAGGGTTCGCCTGCTGTGCCTTCACTGTTTCAGTCAGGGACTTGCCAGGTATGGAGCGCCATTAAGGCCACCCTTCCCCTTCCCAGGCCTCCAAGAAACTTGCAATTATTTTTTTTTTAAAAAAAAACAGGTTAATGCTATTCTTCTCTCATAAATATCTTGTTTGCTTTATTTTCTATTAGAAAAGTATGAATGTTTGTTGCAAAGGATTCAGTCAATGAATAAGAATGTAAAAAAAAACTCACTGTCACAGATCACAATTATTAATGGTTTTCTCTCACTTCTTAGAGACTTTTTCCTATGCATATGCAAACACATTTCTAATAGAAATGGAATTACCATGCACATTTTCTACAACTTGATTTTTCCTCATAACAGTCTATCTTGGACATCATTCCATGCCAGTATATTCAGATTATTTCATTTGTTTTAATAGCTGCTTGGGTTCCATTAAAGGGACATAATATGGTTCATTTTGCGGATTTGTGGACATCATGATTGTTAATACTTTTTTATGCTTAGTGCTGTATACGGTCATCTTTTTATGTGTATCTCTAGACCTCAGTGCCAATCAATTTTTTTTAAGAGTCTGTTTAGGAGCATTAATTTAGCCCCAGAAAGGTTGCTCTGCAGATAGTATGTTTTGTTTTAACAGGAAAATAAAGCAGGCTCATGTTCCACAGCTATTCTGAGCTGCCCATGTTTCACCACTTCTCCATTTCTGACTGAATATGCTGGAGAAATATGTGGTCTTGGTAACTCTTTCTTTTTACCTCTAAATTTTAAGGCCTCCAGGTTTTGACTGCCACCATATGCATTTGTCCTCATTGGTAGGCCTTTAGCCAACTCTGTTCCCCCGTGTGTTGCAGCGTCTCTCCTTTGCTTAGTAATCGTGTCTTTCAAACTGTAGCTCCCTTACAGTGGTGTTGACACATGCATTAATGCTTCCAAAATGCTTTGAAGATCAGTTCTTTGTATCACTTTATAATATGATCTGACTCATATCCTGGTCTGACTTACCGTGGCATGTACTTACTCACATCCTATACACAGAAATAGCATATAGGTTCCAGCCAGTCGGCGGTCCCTGCCACACTGATGGACACAGCAACAGGTGGGGAAGGACCCAGAGCCACAAGCAATGACAGCACGACGGGCCACAGCCGTGGTTCCCAAGCCCGGTGCCACACAGTGTTAGGGGCACAGCTGGTGATGAAAGTCACTCAGCTGACATTTTCAACACATTTACCCCAAAGAATACGTAGTGTTGTAAAGCAGCTTCAGCTCAAACGATCGCAAACAGTGCCGCATTCTCACATAGGCTCACACCTACACCCAGCTTCATAAGACCAGCTTCGTAAGACCACAGCCCCACCTTTGCCAGGAATTAACGTCAACATGGGATAATAGACTGGGTACAAATTGTGACCCCACAAGATGTTTAAAGCATCCCCCACTGACTTCACTGGCGGGTCTTTGGCTCCTTTACAGGCCTCATGCCTGGGAAGGAGGAAAGGTGGCCGCTGATGTGCTGCCCTCCAGTGCTCTGCCTTTCCCCTTTGTGCAGTTGATGATTAACCCTCAAAAGCTGGGCACAGTGGCTGGGCACAGTGGCTCACGCCTGTAATCCCAGCACTTTGGGAGGCCGAGGCAGGAGGATCACTTGAGTTCAGGAGTTCAAGACCAGCTTGGCCACCATAGTGAGACCTCATGTCTATTTATTTAAAAAAAAAAAAAATAATACATAGCGTTCCAGGGGAGTAAATGTCATCTAAATCTCCTGTTTAGGAGCTGTATAAATGAAACTCATGAGGGCAATTGATTTTGGAGCAATTTTTACTGTGCTACTCCATATGAAAACTCCTTACCCCTCAAATGTTCCTTAGCTCAAATTACAGTTAGCAGAAAGTCTTCTTTTTTTTTTTTTTTTTTGAGACAGAGTCTTGCTCTGTCACTCAGCCTGGAGTGCAATGGCATGATATCGGCTCACTGCAGCCTCCGCCTCCCAGGTTCAAGCGATTCTTCTGCCTCAGCCTCCCGAGTAGCTGGGAAAACAGGTGCCCACCGCCACATTCAGCTAATTTTTGTATTTTTAGAAGTGACGGGGTTTCACGATGTTGTCCAGGCTGGTCTCAAACTCCTGACCTCAGGTGATCTGCCCGCCTCGGCCTCCCAAAGTGCTGGGATTACAGGCGTGAGCCACTGCACCTGGCCATTAGCAGAAAATCTTTAAGGACAACAGACTAGGTTAGTTTAGTTACTAACCTGTAGTTTTCCTGGCTGACGTGAAGTGTTGAATTCCCATCAAGCAAGGATAAAAATGTTCTCATATATTTATAATAATAATATTCTGATCAAGTAATAGCTTCCCAAAAGTTCTACAAACATTTCTTCTTTTCTTGTATTTTAGTAGCCAATGAAAGAATGTTTGGATTTCTGCGGTTTTCTAAATTGCTTTATTGAAGTGTGTAGGTAAATCTGAGTTGGTTCACTCTTCAGAACATCCTTTGCCCTTGACCATAGTAGCCAGGTGTTTGACTCTGCAATGAGAAGAAAGAGCACCTTTATCCACACACATAGCATTTTCCTTCCCACTCGACCTCTTATCATGCTGGCCCCTGAAATACTGTTTCCTAGAATACTATTGAGCTCATGCTGAACGTAAACATAATCTAGGATTTATTTCTAGAGTTAGCATGAACACAAGTGTGTTCCCAGCTACTTAGGACAAGCCTCTGGATTCTGACTCCAATCGTAACATCCTTTGAAAAATTATAATGTAGCAACTGGTATGCTTGTCCATCTATTTAGCACATGGCATGTTCAAGGTGCTGTTTTAGCCACAGATTATTCCTATGGTTTCTTGAGAATATGAGGTTTTGTGTAGCCTTCAATAGACTTGATTTTAGTAACAAAAATAGTGCAGCTTTTCCCTTTTAAAAATTTAAATAACTCTAGAAGGAAAAAACTCTATCTAAATTCTGTAACAGATCGACTTATTCTCTCAGGAACAACAGCTGTCAAATGAAAATTCGAGAGTGTCTTTTCCTGATGTTTAAGCCCTTGCCTCTTAATCCCAGCCTATTCATTATAAACCAATGAATAGAACTGAGAAGACAATGAAAAACTAAAAGGACAGAAAACGCCCTGCTAGTAAAAGTTGGGGACAGTAATAGTACATGAAACCGGGAGGATCTAACTGCACTTCAGATGACATGACAGGCAATAACAGAAGCTCAGAATCACTGATTACCATTTTAACATTTATATACAGACATCTTTAAGTCCCCCTAGGCAATGTTAAGGAAAGTCCTCAAGCACCAAAAAGGTGCCTGAGTAGTGATACAAACAGGAACAGGCTGTTTCAAGGGTCTGCTGACACAGCTGAGGGGCTCAAACGCGCTACAGGTTGAACATCTTTAAACTGAAAACTGAAAATCCAAAATGCTCCAAAATCCAAAACTTTTTGACATGATGCCACCAGTGGAAAATTCTACATCTGACCTCCTGTGACGGGGCACAATCCAAACTTTGTTTCATGCACAAAATTATTTTAAATGTTCTATAAAATTACCTTTAGGCCATCTGTAGATGGTGTCTATGAAGCATAAGTGAATTTTGTGTTTA